CATACTTTCGATACGCTTTCAAGTGTTTCAAAGTCCAGTACGGGAAACCTCTGACCATAACACCATGTACTCTGAAACACTTATTACTTGTTATCCACGTTATTTAAAAGACGGAGTATAATTTGTATTGATCAATTTAAGTATTATACATTAATAAATATAATTTTATTATGTCGAATGAATTTCCTTCAAATGATTTGTATGTCTTGCTGCATAAGAAGTTTAAAGATATCTTAAGTATTAAAAAAACAGACCCACACGTGCAAACGGATATAGGTATACACGTATGGTCTGTAAATGCATAAATACAATCAACAATGAAAACAATATAGCTTAACTCTTGAGAAATATGTCAATGGATTTGCCGTATTCGATATTTTATCTGGTATTTTGATACATCTACATTATCAATTTCATTCAATGTATAGTTAAAACATGCTCGATGCATAAACCGATAAATGTTTTTTTACAACTATTTCACACTTGAAACTATCCTCATTATTAAATCAAAACATTTACAGGGAGTTAATGGACGTTTTAAATTGACACATTTTTAGTAAACACTGGTTAACCATGTAAACATAGGAGTAGATAATACAATTCAAATGTCATGCAATATACGCAATGATGTATTACTAAGCACACTCCTTTCTGTAACCTCTTTATATATCTTTAAGATACGATTTTTGATGCGTAATTAACAAAGATTTCTTACACCAGCAAACAACCTGATTTCCCTTTTTGGGATATTCCGAAGGACGTTTTGTTTCAAGTAAGGAGTTGGTAAAGTAGATCTCAAACGTGGAGTCAAAACTTTTTTTAGTGCGGTCCAATTGCCAGGTATTTCCAAACATATTTGTTATGCAAGTAATTCCGTAGTGGGATTTGTAACTGCAAACTCTTATCATGTAGCTCTTTTAATTTTAATCGTTGTCATATTTGTCATAGTTTAGTTTTTTGGTTTTTTTTTCTTGATCATGTTGGTGGGTGAGTATTTGCAGTTTTTTTTTCTATAAATATTAAAGTGATGTTGCAGTGTTGAACAGGAACAGTTGACTGAAGATGAAAATGAAAGTCACCGAAGAACAGTTACACAATAGGATAAGAAAAGGGAAAAATTATCATTAAATAATGAGATGTGGTATGATAGCTAATGATACAACTATGCATCAAAGTCTAATGACATCGAGCTAAACAGATTTATATTACCGTTAGTAAATGAAAAGAACATCTTCGGTGTATCCGAAGCTCTTGTTATGGATTTAGGTTCAGTAGGAAATAAAGGCAACAGTAGTATACCGCTGTTCAAAAGTCATTAATCGATTGAGAGAAAACAAATCCGGGTTACAAACTAAAACCGAGGAAAATACATCAACTATAAGAAAATTATGAATAACGCTGAAATACAAATATTGAAAGTGAGGATGTACATTGTACACATGCCTAAACATGCAGAAAAGACAGTTAAAGAAGTTTAACAAGTTTATCTGATATTACTTTTGACTGAAGGTAATGACACAATAGATGTTTTAATTGCACCACCAACGGATAAATGTATAAGAGTATGCTGTAAACAAGTCAGTTCCAAAGCAATACTTTCGATATTTTTTATCAAATTTACTCAAGTAATAAGTCATCATATACACTAGTTCAATGTTGATGTAATCTGTAATGTATCAAGTCAAATGCTATCCAGCTATACTAGTTTATCTGCAGAGAGCTCATACAATAATCCACCTATTCGATTTGAGTATCCACTCGAATTGTGCAACTTCTATACCAGAGATCAAATCGCATAGAACACAAAAGATTTCATTTATTTCCACTCGTATTACCATGTGGTAGTAAAGACAAAAATATAGTAATGCGCTCATGTCATAACATCTTTAACCTTGGTGCATCTTATCTTCATTTCAATGAAAAAAAATGTGAGCAATACTTATACCAAACGTTATCTAAACGAAATATAACGACAGTGTGTAAAGGCTTATATATAGCTGATATATATCAGATGGAATCATTATCAACAAGGTTGTTTTACTGATATATGACTTAAGTGTCTATGCATTTTCAAATAAATGACTACATGTAACTGTATGATTGCATGACATTGTATAATTTCGTTATATTGTATGATTGCATTATAAACTTTATAGTTTCTAAATGTATTAATTGCAAATTTGGACATTTACTTCCCAATTTATAGCAAGCAGTATCAGTATACAGCAGATGAGGTCCACATGTGTGTAAGAGCATCCCATTTGTTTATAAAAATGATACCGAATATACCAAGGGGACATTAAAACATTAAAAAGTCGATGACATTGCAAAGAGTAAAATGACAAAACGACGAGCAGATCAATACTAAGTTAGAGACTTTCAATTTAGCAGAACGAACCTAACTAAGAAAAACAAATACAGGTCGTGATCACATATGCTCCAAGAGTATTCAGATCCTACTCCGAAAATGATGAACACACATTCTTTGATTACACACAAATGGTACAGCATACAAAATGAAGCTCGGTATAAGACTTCGGCATATTGGTTGGACGTTTCTATAATTTATCATGTTTTTGACACGAAACAGTCAACAAAACATTGATCTAATTGACTTCGATGGTTTTCACTATAATATTTGCCTTGTTATACACGGACTGTTGATATTTTGATCAGATATATCATGTTATGGAGGGTATTTGCGAAAAATACCAGTCAAGGGACTGTACAATTTCCCGAACCGCTAGGCGAAGGACATTCGGCCCCAAGAGTGGTATTTTTCGCAAATACCCCTCCATAACATGATATATTTGTTTAATTACACCGAATAGATTTGGATTGAAACTCTCTGTACAGGTGAAGATATTTGTTTTTACTTGAAAGCTGTAATTCATTAACATGTTTATGGATAATTTTGAGGATAAGAGGATATTATCATATAACCGCGGGCATTAAACATGTACTAATACGCGTTAGCTCGCTGTTTTATGTAACGTCATATCCGAAAAAAAATTGGCGGGAATATGCTGGAGAGGGTAAAAAAGTGATATCCAAAATGGTCAATACCATGGTATTTGAGGCAAATTTACCGGCAGTGGTGAAAAACAGATAAATTCGTTTGAAATGAGGAAAAAATATTGAAATATGCAAACAATACACTGGCTATCAATCAATCAAAATCTGGCTTTCTTATATAAATTGTAATTATAATTATAATCAAATACACATTCTATTTGTTTAACATGTATCAAAATATACATATCTTAAATTAACATTACATTGATGAGCGATAGAAGTGAAAATGCACCACACGACATAGCATGCTCATATCTATTTATTGGATGAATATGTAAGAACAGATTATAACCAGCGGTTTAAAAAATAGGGAATGACATCAATTGGTTCCTTTCCCGATGAAAGGACAACAATGTTAAATCTGCATAATTGCGGAAGGAATTTTTTGTTCTTCCCTCAACGGGATTCGAACTCATGCTATTGGGATATCGAGACAACACCACCTGTACTGTGTCCATCGCTCTAGACCACTCGACCACCTAGACTGAACTAGAAAATGCAGCTTTCGGTGGTGTTACCTTTCATCGTCAGTAGAATCTAGAGTTGTAACACAGTACATGATAAATTAGGCATGAAGATGGAATTGATTGCAGATTAGCTAAACAATGCTAACTATCTATCGTAAAGGATCGTACGATACAGTCACAGAAATAATTATTTTGATAAGTACGTCTAAACAAGTAACACCTCTATGACAGATCTCTCCATTGGATCACCAGTGAAGGTGATACACAGCTGAAAACACATATTATTTTCGTTATGACTCTAAATATCAGCACAACAATATTAAATCTGCAAATTTGCGAAAGCAAATTTTTGTTCTTCCCTCGCCGGGATTCGAACTCATGCTATTGGGATATCGAGACAACACCGCCTGGACTGTGTCCATCGCTCTGTACCACTCAGCTACTTAGACTGATCTAACAAAAATCAGCTTTCGGTGGCCTAGTGTTACCTTTCCTCGTCAGTAGAATCTAGAGTTGTAACACAGTACATGACATATTAGGCATTACGATTGAATTGATTGCAGATTAGCTAAATATCTATCTATCTCTCTCTCTATATATATATATATATATACAAAAGGCCGTAAGACATACATTGACACAGTTTTATTGAATCAAGTTAAATTGGTATTTGAATACATTTGCCATTATCTCAAATGATGCTGTGCAATTGCTTCAAGGGATCGATCAAGAGCGCTATACTAAACATTGATAATTGTGTGTTTGAGGTGAGCAAATGTCGCCTACTAAGATAGACTTGATAATAGGCTTGGATTAACTAGTCGTTCATTAAAATTCTTAGACGATTTTGTATCTACATGCATGTTCCGGTAGTATCAGCTAGCTTGCAATATTACAAAACGATTCATTGAACAAAATCTATTTTTATTGTGATCTTTTTTTCTTTGCAATATATTAATTAGCTTTTATAATGTCCAGAGGATAAAAATTACAACAAAACGGTCGCCCTGCGTTTATCCGCACAGCACAAGGTGAGGCATCATTATACTGTATCAGAATCTATCGGAAATTCTAAGATAATTCCTTGATATATTATCAAAAGACATTGATGTCGTTGACATTTTCTGCCAGTAAGATCGTTAAAAATCTCAGTATATGTGATTAAGCCGCAGGATATACATCATAGTAATAAATGACAAAGTTTAAATTCATTTACCTGGGAAAATTTGTTTTCAATAAGGAAACCAATATCGGGATATGTAGAGGCATTGCTTTATCTGAAGATTAATTTGATTAACTAAATACAAGTAACAATGTGACACAATTGAATTAGACGAAATCACATTGTTGCAAATGTAACACATCAGTTTTATAAAGATTTGAGGGTGTCAAACAAACCTGTGAAACATATTGTTGATTCAATAAACGACATTTTATACTGTTGTAATGAACTAGGAGATGTCAATGTTGACAAGGAAGGGAACAATGGTTCGTAAAAACCGAGGGTCTATAAAACGACAATCGGTAAGGAGACATGGGAGCGGATCCATAACAAGGAAAAAACAACAGCAAACATCGGAAATGCCAGAATCTCCGCGTGTAATTGCTGTAAAAAAACAAGAATTTCAATATCCTCAGTCGTCGCCGACAAGAAGTGTTGCAAGCACTATTGTTGTGAGTATTTTTGTTGTTTTTTTTATGTTGTTGCTTTTTTTCCCAGCATTTATTTCGTAAGTAACTATTCAGAGAGCAGTATTGTCGTCAGTTGTTACTTGGAGGTTAATTATCTTATTGTAATTCAAAATTATTCATATTACTGTGGATTCATTACTATTCGTTGGCTACCAATTTTCGTGGATTTCGTAGGTAAAAGTGAACCACGAAATTAAATATTCAGCGAATGACAAATTTTCTATAGTCTTGTATGCAGACTTTAGTAAAACCACGAAATCAAATATCCACGAATCTGTGAAGTTTACTTAATCAACGAAAATTGGTACCCACGAAAATAAATGAATCCATAGTAATCTAGGGATTGATGTTCATATCATGTTTTACCTTTGCTTGTTACTGTTCTATACAATGAATGCGGTCGAACAGTTTGGGACGAAGCAAAAAAATCTTTGATAAAAAACACCTCTTTAATTATATACAGCCATGGTTTCATACAATTTAGATTGGATAACCTTTTGTTTCAAACAATGCAATCAGTGAAATGTTATTCTTTTTAAATTTTGTATTTCTGACTCGGATGTATACGTGTACAATTACTGTTTTATTCATTATTACGAAGAATAACTGTCCTACATTTGGAATATCATTTTATATTTAGTATACAAGTTTAGACCTTAACTGAAACGTCTCATAGATTGATGTTTTCTGTCGTTGATACGTTAAGGAACATTATGATCCATGTTTTGGAATAGAAACAGTCGACCAAACATTGATCTAGTCGACTTCGATGGATTTCACTATACTTTTTGCCTCGTTATACAAGGACTTTTGATATTTTAACAGGCTTTGGTTGACATTCTTAATATCAAAATTAATACTGTTTGAATAACGATTACCCTTGTGAATAATGCTCATGTATTTCAAACCACGTTATAATGTTTCAATATTTAAAATAAATAAAATAGTGTGTCGATTGATAATCCGTTCTTAGTATATATATAAATATATATATTGATAATTTATATGATTTTATTTCAATTAAATATAAAACAGATAATTACGTGTGACGTTGTTAGTACATATACATGTACTGTAAAGGTTGAATATTTCCGTTAAAAATTAATAGTTTTCATTTCATAAGCATTTATCCAGTTGAATATCCTTATCAAATAGTTTGATGATACAAACCTTGAAATAAGTTTACAGTATACAAAACTTCAAAGATGTTATACCAGTTTTGTGGATAATTTATTAAATGCTGAAATGATTGCAAGATACATTTTATTATTGATTTGTTTTAACATTTCTGACATTTCGCCACACTACGAATGGTATAAAATAAGAAAAACAATAATAGAAAAAATATCAAATATCAAAATGGGTTGGAAAAATTTGAAATCCTCAGTTTATCAACTAAGGGAGCTACCATTTGATTTTTATGGGGGGGGGGGGGGGGGGGGGGGGTGCTAGGATGAAATTTGAAAAAAAACAGGCAGGACAGGAGTTTTGAGTAAAAAAAAGCAGGATGAGACACTTTGCCAAAAAAAAAAAGGCAGGATGACAATTTATGTAAAAAAAAGTCAGGATAAACTAAAAAAAAAAGGCAGCACCGAATAGAGTGAAAAATAAAAAAGCAGGACAGAGATTACAACCAAAAAAAATACCATTGATGTATGATGCCTTATAATATATTCAGGATGAGAAACATTTTGAAATTAATACAATATGGTATGTTTTGTAAAACTATGCAACAGTGTGTGCAGAACGAGAAGTACCTTGAAATGAGGGTATTTTGGATAAGAGCAGAAGGTTAAACAACTGTCCAACTTTAAACAGGTCTAAAGGTTTTCACAATACATCTTAAACTTGCAGAAAACGCCACCTTCTCAACACAAGACATATGCGTTTAACTCCTTATTCCTACCGTCTGTAACTGCAATTGTATACATCTCACAAAGCGAAACAGGCGCCAACATTTGAAAAGGGTTTTACTTTACTTTATGGAAGAAGTCCAGGTGAACTTGTTCTATATACAAGCCAACATTAGGGTTGAAAGGTCATTGAACAAGTCATATAAACTAAACATGTCACGAGGCAGACAACAGGTAACTGTGTTGATCATGTCTTTGCACTTAACACAATGTTTAACATCATATTACCCAAATATAATCACTGAAGTCATTTGATTGCTTTGTTATTATAATAAATAATGATCAGTTGGCTTAATTTTACACTATGATACAAGTTTGATGTAGTTTACACCATAATAATTCCATATAGATTTAACCTAACTATTAAGTCATGAATTGCCGTGTATTGTATGCAAAAAACACGTCTTTTTTTCGGACGCATGAAATTAATAACGTGTTGTTTTCATTCTTTTGGAACAAATCAGTTTATATACATCAGTTTATATACATTTATTGTTATGTTCACATCCTTAAGTTAAATGTAATGTAGAGCTTATACAATGCTACTAAGATTTAATTTGATGTGATCCTTTGTCGCGTCCTGGCTAATTGTATGCATATCGCAATGATTCGCAATCACGATTACATGTCTCCAGGGTTTATTGACACTTGTACTAAGTATAAGGTAAAACCTATAACAATTGATAATGACAACTAGTATAGCCGATTTTTATACATGTTAAACTGAGACATGCCGATTTTATGTTCATATGTATATCTTATTATATAATCAATTCACCTTATATCACACTGTGCGACAAGTTGGATGTATTTAACGAACACAACAATGCTATGTACTTTAAATGTAACTATTCAGCCATGATGTTCCGTGCATTGTATGCAACAACGTCTTTTGGAACAAATTAGGTTATAAAACGATCTGTTAGTTGTCACATCCTCAAGTTGAATACAATGACAAATTGATTAAATACTACCAACAAGCAATAAGCAGTCTTCCTTTTTTACGTCCTGGCCGATTGCGTGCGTATCCTAATGAATCATATGTATGATTAAATCTTTCCAGAACTTGTAGACGCTTGCACTTTTAGATGCCGACTTTTAAGTACAAAGATGATCTAAAAGAATTGAAAATAAATTATATTAAGCTTTAATGCTATTAGGTATAACAAAAACAAAACCAACAATTCACTTTACCGAAAGGTCTGAATATGTTAAAATAAAGCAATAAATCTTTCATAAAATTATATAAATATGCCATTCCTTGATATTGCTTTCTGTGTGCATTTCATTAAACAAAATGCGTACATGTATAAGTGCACTAACACGTAGTTATGTACTGCATCTTTCCTGACCGACCGTTTCTTAATTTTGCATGCGTTTGAGTTAAACAAGAAGATCAAATAAGCTGGATCATATTTTTTACATACAGGTATATTTATGATGTTTATTCCATAACAATCCGAACTTTTCAGACTGGGTACCTTTATCATGTCCTCTTAAACAGCAGATTAAGGAAACCACAGATACAGTCTCATTTCAGATCATGTACCACGAATTTGACCATACTGGTCATCTCAGTACCAGAGTATATGAGAAGCAAGACTATTTCATTTGACATTATCACCTTGGCTGCAATGCACAAACTCAAACCACGTATGGAATATGCATGTATCAACTCATATGATAACAAAAAAACGTCTTTAGTGTCTTTTTTTTTTCATTGGTGTCTACTCCCCACATGCCACTAGTTGATCTCGAGTTATAGATTCTACGGGCAGAAGATGTGTATCTTTAAATATACTTTACAGTTTTCCCATGTTTTGTCGTCGTACTATTATGATTGTTTGGTCATATGACTTTTGAAATGAGTCGATATCTATGCATACCGCCATCAAATTTTTGACTTTAAGCATTCCTGGTACAGGTGGGGTCTGCAGTGCAAATGGGAAACAGGGAAGTTTTTTTATTTTTTTTAATTTTTTTTTTGGGGGGGGGGGGGGGGTTGTAATGTTTATTCCAATTCATTTACTAGGTTTTTGTTTTTATGTTATTCTTAATTTGTACGTTATCGAGAAAGTGTATACTATATACAGTATGTGCTATCAACTGCAAAAACGTTTTGATCAACCTCTTTGTCAATCAGCCATTAACTGCAAAAACGTTACTGTTTGCGTCTTTATAAAATATACCATTAACTACGGCAACATATCTGGTTGGCGTTTTTGTTAGGTCTATGTATATGCTTTGATTTTGTTGTTAGTCATTTGTGTTATATGTCTCTCAAATATTGGCTGCTGGATCCTGAATGTTGTCACCAAAAAGGTTTACTTTGGTTGCTCGTCAAATTGTGTCAATATAACGGAATTTGTATAACAACATGAACAACTGTATTACAAGTTGGAGGTTAAGCTAGCTATTCAACCATGTTTAACTCTCTCAAAAACTATAGCTCGCTATTCGACATATGTTGTAACTATAATTGACGTATACTTCAAATATATATAGATGGATGAATAGTTTTAACGTCAAGTAGTTTTATAACAGCAATTCAGGGCACCAATATAAACACTTCATTGTATTTTATGTACACGCAAACGCATACGCACGAATGCTTTTTAAACGTGATAGTTAAGTTGGGAACAATCTTGAAGAAAAGTTGTAAACAAGGTAATATGTCAATAACATGACTGGGTTTATTGTAGACTCTGTCGATGAGTCTGCATTATGTTACGACCTAGATTTGAAAAGGCATAAAATTGCATAAAAAACCAATTCCTTCTACTAAAATCATTTGTTCATAATAAAAAAAAAAAAAAAAAAACCCAACGGCTAACTCTCGAATTGATCAAGCTTTAAGTAGAAGTAGCTTATTTCAACTTTTAAGCGTTACATTGTTACATTTGTATAATTACTAAGAAGTAATGGTAGCAGTTGTAATACGTTGATAGCAAAAAATGTCTTGCAAAAAATGCAAATCCCTCAAAATTGTGATTATATTTAAAAAAAAAACCGCCTTAGGAGTCTAGAGGTAGCGTGTTATTTTATGCTTTATTAAATGTTAGATTGAAC